AGATGAGGACGGAGGCTAATGACATGTATCTTATATTCTATGCACTTTTGTTTTCAAGGTTTAATATGAAAATATTAAAAAAATGCTAAGTTATTGTTTCATAACTTTTGCATCGGGTGTGGGAATTCCATTCTTTTTCTTTGGTCGACCGAACTGAAATAAGGTTTATTTCGGTCGTCCGAAATGAGATAAGATCTGCTGAGTGCTTCATTTCGGTTGTCCGAAATGACTAACCGGTCTGCCGGTTGTGACTTTCAAACTAGCCTAGCTACTACCCAAATTTCATGAGACCGGTATCTATTGCCAATTCATTTCAGTCTGCCAAAATGGGCTATTTTAGAAATACTGGTACTTCAGAAAAATGTTACAGTATTTATTTGTCCATTTACTTTAAGTTTACAATGTAAATAAGGAAGTACCCCCTATTTGGATTCAATAAAAAATTTAAGAAAATTGAAATCCATCTAAACCAAAATGTAAAAATTCAGTTTTAGTACAAATTTTGATTTCCAACAGTTTTGGTAAAAATGAATCCTTATGTAGACCAATGTAGAGTTGGTAATAAATTCTGATAAAATCAGTTTAGGCTATTTGAAGTATAAGGAGTTATTACCAGGAAAAATTATTTTGAAATAATCATTATTTCAAAAATTCATTTTTCACACGTAGCCAAAAACACAGAGCCTCAAGTACCTGTACACTCAGAAGGAGTTGAATATAAGGCAACGTAAGTGGATGGAGAAGATTATGGATTTTGATATGACCCTTCAATATCACCGAGGGAAGGGGAATGTGGTAGCAGATGCCTTGAGTCGGAAACCGAGAGGAATGGTTGGCTTTATGATGATTCAGGAGTGGATGATGTTAGAGGCATTGGCAGAGTTCTCCATTATGCTAACTTCTAAGAATACAGGGGCACTTCTTTGTAGTTTGACTGTAAAACCGACTTTGATCAGCCAGCTTATTCAAGCTCAAACTCAGGATGACAGGTTCCATGCCAGGGCAGTTGAGGCTGCCAAGGATGAGGGTAACGTGGACTGGATATGTGGAATACATAGTGCATCTAGGTGGCACTAAGATATATCATGATCTTAAGAGGCAGTTCTGATGGGAAGACATGAAATGTGATGTGGCAGAGTTTGTGTCTAGTTGTCTCACTTGTCAGCGAGTGAAGGTTGAGCACTAAAGACCAGCAGGACTACTACAGCCTTTGTCCGTGCCTAAGTGGAAATGGGAGCATGTGACGTGGATTTTTTTATGAGGTTACCAAGGTCAATACATGACCATGATACTGTGTGGGTGATAGTGGACAGTTTAACTAAATCAGCTCATTTTCTACCCATTCGAGCTACTGATACTGTAAAGGAGTTGTGCAAGATCTACATCAGAGAGGTAGTTAAGCTCCATGGAGTGTCGATGTCTATTGTTTCAGATCATGATCCTCGTTTTGCATCTCGGTTTTGGAGTACTTTTTATACAGTTTTTGGTACTCCTTTAAGTTTGAGTACTATTTTTCATCCTCAGACCGATGGCCAATCTGAGAGGGTCATTCAGGTGTTAGAGGATACGCTTCGTGCTAGTGTGCTAGATTTTTGGGGCAGTTGGGAGGACCACATTCCACTAATTGAGTTCGCTTATAATAACAGCTATCAAGCTAGTATTGGCGTGGCACCATATGAGGCACTTTATATAAACCTTGTCATTCACCTGTATGTTGGGCTGAAGTTGGTGATGGTAGTCTATTGGGGCAGAGTTGGTGCAAGAGACTACAGAGAAGGTTGCCATCATTTGAGATTGACTTTGTACAGCTCAGAGTCGACGCCGATGAGCTTTAAAGTTTAGTGTGGGAGATTTAGTATTTTTGAAAGTCTCACCAATGAAGGGAGTTACGAGATTTGGTAGGAAGAAAGGAAAGTCAGCTCCTCGATTTATTGGACCTTTTGAGATCACATAGAGGATTAGGAAAGTGGCGTATAGATTGGCACTACCACCCAGACTATCAGCGGTTCATGATGTTTTTCATATCTCTATGTTGAGGAGGTGCTTTAAGGATGAGACTCAGGCCATTGACTGTACAGAGGTTCAGTTGCATCATAATGCAACCTATGTTAAGACGCCTGTTCGCATTGTTGACCATATGGTGAAACAATTGGGGAGTTACGAGATTTGGTAGGAAGAAAGGAAAGTCAGCTCCTCGATTTATTGGACCTTTTGAGATCACACAGAGGATTGGGAAAGTGGCGTATAGATTGGCTCTACCACCTAGACTATCAGCGGTTCATGATGTTTTTCATTTCTCTATGTTGAGGAGGTGCTTTAAGGATGAGACTCAGGCCATTGACTGCACAGAGGTTCAGTTGCGTCATAATGCAACCTATGTTGAGACGCCTGTTCGCATTGTTGACCGTATGGTGAAACAATTGGGGCGGGCAGAGATACCACTATTGAAGGTGCAATGGAATTATTAGGATAAGAGAGAAGCTACTTGGAGCTAGAGTCAAAAATGAAGGAAAAGTACCCACATCTCTTTGAATTAGGTACGCAAATTTCGAGTACAAAATTTCTTTTAAGGAGGGTATGATGTAATACCCGTAATTTATATATATATATATAGATATATATTTCAGTTAAAGTTGGAACCGGATATTAGAGATATATGTATCCTTTAAGTTTTAAATTTTTTTTTTTTTAAAAAAAAGAATCCCAAATTATCTCAACTATCGTATATCATTATCCTTCTTATAGTCATGCTATATCAGTCTTTTGAAATATAATATTTTATTTGTGGAAAGAAAATTACCGAGAGAGAGAGAGAGGAAGTGGATTACTAACGTTACATTGCCAATCTGCAGTAGCCAAAAGAAGAGACGGTGACCAAGGGATCGCCTAGAGAGGAAGGTTTAACGATATTTTCAGACAAGTTAATCTTGCTTTATATTTTTATATATGTGTAAAACTTGATTTATAAAAATTCTTTGAGAATTAATCTAGCATGGTCTAACGAATTTTAGCCAATTAACTGATTAAAATCTATGATCAGTTGATGTATGAAATCTGAGCAGATTATATTGGAGGAAACTAAAAGGAGTGAACAACTTGGTGAAATACAGTAACACAAGGCTTGACAACACTTTATTTTTGTTTGTTTATTATAGAGTTTGTTCATTTTGACATTGTTTAGTATAAAATGTTTACATTGAATTAAATTCCATAATATCTTTTTACGTACCGGAATATAAAATGTTTGCATTGTTATATGAATATAATTGTGCAATGTTTTATTGAAACTCAACGAATTCCATAATATCCTGAAGGACATTTTTATAAATTAAATTCCGCAGTCTCTTTTCTGACAGTCATATTTTATAATACTTGTTACTAATGTAAAGGTTGTGCGTGCGCGCGCGCGCGCGCCTCCACCTCGACCTCCAGACTGAGTGAACCTTAACCGGATATGTGTGACTGAATATTTATAATCCTTTTTTGGCTGTAAATTCATTTATACTTCAATGAGCGAACAAGACATTAATTTCAACCTCACCGTGAGCTGGGGAATTAAGTTTGTGATACTTGGAGGTAAAGACCATGAGCTTGGGTGCGCCCGGAGCACCGTTCACGGGGCTCGCTCATCCTAACTGAACCATACATGTGCACCGTTCACAGGGCTCACTCATCCAAACTGAACAATATGTGTAAGTGGTGTTGTGCATGCGCAGGCACGGTATTGTGCAACGGATGAGCCGGCTACCGGCACACCGAATATCTATTCCATGAGCTGGGGATATTGGAGTCATTTTTTTTGCTGGCTTGAAAGTATGAGGTGCAGAGGACCACAAATTCAATAGTTATACCGCACATACCATGTAAGCACGCTTGGTGCATACATGCATTATAAAATTCCCCAAAATCTTGAGAAAAATGAAACAAATAAAATATATGTATGCACCAAGCGTGCTTACATGTATGCATGTATGCACCAAGCCCTTGCCCTTTCATTCAAGAATATGCATATTACATCTAAAAAAAATAAAAATAAAATAAAAAAAATCCAACAACCATGGGGATGCTCCCACTAGAATTTAACCTTTTAATCAACAGAATGATGCACAAGATATATATATATATATATATATATATATATATATATATATATATAAATCACGAGTTTATTAAGGAAAGTGCCCCGTCTTTATCAATTCACAATACATTGGCTTCCTGCCTCTTTCCACCACTCAAGGATTTTTTGCTCTAGTTAGGATTTTGACACACATCCAAATGACGGCAATAAACAAATACTCAAACTTGTTAAAAGGACAAATAAAATTTTCAACAACATAGACCTCAAAAAAAATAATAAAAATTAAAAATATATATATGGATTGTTAAAAAATAATTCATTTATAGATATAGCAAACATCAACAATACAAGATATGCAACAGAAAATTCAACATCTTGCAAACATTTCAAACATTCAGCAGTAGTTAGATTATATGTGTCTCTCTTGAGTTTTGACCGAAAAATGGAGCACAAAAGGCCGGAAACAGTTTTAAGTTTTGTCACTTTGATGTCTGTATGAAATATTAAAGGACAATAGTTTTGACCGGATCTCTTAAACATTGTGTTCAAGGCCTTGAGTGCAACTCTCTCTCTCTCTCTCTCTCTCTCCAATGGTGGAAAGTTGACAAACACCTAACTCAAACTTGTCTGCAAAGTGGCAAAATGAACACATTCAATTTGACAGGGTATTATTACTGTTTTGAAAGAATAAAAAAAAAACATTTGACAGGGCATCTAGTCTGCTACAAATTGGATTTGAGGCTCTCTACAAATCATACGGCACATGTTGACGCATCTTTCAGACTAATAATGAACATCATTCTGACCATCCAAGTAATAGCAAATGAAATCCAAAAGAGCACATATAAATAAGAAAGCCAATTGTCAACCAAATTTGTAGAGAATGGAACAAACACGACAATGAATAGAGGATGCTGTTAGGTTTAGTCAAAGTCGATCAAAATACTGAACAATCAAATAAAGGGAGATATAATCATCCCAATTCCCCATTTTGTTCACAAAGCAATGAAAACAGAAATTCCATTGCAATGGCTAAGGTCAGAAGAGAGAAACAATTCTCAAAAATATTGCAGAGCTATAAGCAGATAACCATGGCCCCCAAATACTCCAAATCAAGATAAAACACCATTAAAAATCTATAATCATGCATTATTTCTATCACAAATTTAAAACAGAGCCTCACTTCTTCAGTGATGTGCCTTGGCTTCAGCTTTCCTATGAGAATTGGCCTTTGCCTGAACAGAAATAAAAAATAACATAATCAGTAAGAATTTTTTTTTTTTTTTTTTTTTTTTTCCTTGGGTAAAGAAATATTGATAAACTTTTTTTTTTCCTAGTTATATTGATAAACTTTTTTTTTTCCTAGTTATATTGATAAACTTCAAACAGGTCAAGCATAAAGTTTTTTCTTCCTTCATGTGTTTAAAATAAATAAATAACTAAAAAACAGAGAGAGAGAGAGAGAGAAAGAGAGAGAGAGAGAGAAAAAAGAAAAAGAAAAGAAAAGAACATTACCTAGTCAAAAAGGGATATATGAAGTAACTCATTAGTAATTGACTAATGGTATTTCATGCAAACGTTGGTAAAAGGATTCACATGTAGACTGATATTCTCTTGCAGCCAGAATGTGTGTGTGTGTGTGTGTGTGTGAATATGTAGTGATGCACATGATGAGGTTAAATCAATTTAACTTATAAGCATTTTAATAAGTTTTAAATACCGGTACCATGTGTTCAACATTAGACATATTTACAAAGGTGATTTTCTAAAAGATGCAATGCACAATGCACCAAATGTTGATAATTCTTACCCGTCAAACCAGATAAAGAAATATAATAAGAATGCATTGTTCTATTAAATGACTATGCAATCTAAATATTCCATCATAGAAATGGGAGTGCATGTTCAAACATGTCAAATAGTATAACAGGATCAAAGGCGTCTATAACGTTTCTTATCTTGCCCCTTACCCAGCTTATAACAAAGGCATGAATAGAAGTTTACACAGCATTTCTAAAGCTTGACATCCTCATGCAATGTGCTAGAATCAGAATTTGTATTCTTACACATCATAAATAGGCACATTGTGTACCATTTATTTTGTGATGGCAAAAGACACATCATGGCAAATGCAACATTAAACATATCTAACAAATCAATTCACCGTTGAGCATCTCCAAGAGGAGGAAGACACAACGTGAAAAAGCCTGATACTTGCTTTTATACTACTCATATACTCAGTATACTACTGATATATTCTAGCTTCAACAAGTTTAATCCCAACCATAATCTATCTCCAATACGATGTATAATTCTCAGGTTTACTTTCAAGTTTATAATTTGGAAAAACTAGAACTTCACATAACTTCGAAAATCAGAAGGCTAAAGGCGTGGAAGATATAGATTTAGAAAGAGAACTACAAATAAAATAAAATATAACAAATGACCATGCAAGATTATTTATGAAACAAATATGAAAGTCAATAAGAACATATTATATTAACGTGATCAAAGCTTCATGCTATCAAAAATTGTGTGGCTGGTGTATATTTAATGGATCACTGTCAATTTATCCATAAAATGATAGTAAATTTGATATTATAAGCCCCACTGACAGCCATCTATTAGTAATCCCATGAAGCTCTTCATCCATGTCAGGTTCAACCTCACATAAAAAAAATAATAATAATAAAAAGCACAGTAGCTTCACTGAGATTTATGGATTTAGTTGGAGGAGTCGGGCATTAAACCTCGGAAACTACCTTAACTGAGCAGAAAAACACAATAACCCACATTGCAAATATAGTAACAAATTTGACAACATTTTATTATATTGTTCGGTTTTTACTTTTTACTTAAACTAATTGTGAACAATATGAAGGATTGAAACTGGAAAATATAATAGTCAAATCTATTCATTTTGACATTGTAACATGGAGATCACGGGTTCGAAACAAGGAAACAACCTCTCCACATTGAGAGGTAAGGCTGTGCACATCTAACCCACCCCAAACCCTGCAATGGCAGAAGCCTCATGCCCTAGTTTATGCTTTTTTATTTGTTTTTACACCACACTGCTTATTCTACTGCTAAACACGAAAAGCAAAATCTTACATTTTCGCATTCCAGTATAATTGTGGTAATCATAGATAAGACTAGTATATTAGTGTATTTTGGTCATACGAAATGAAAAAACTCATTTAGACTTGGTAACTAAAAATAAATAAAAAATGAAAACCTTTGACTACACTTGGGAGAGGTTTAATATAATTATACAACAAAATGCTTGTGTTGTCAAGCATTAGAATGCGGATTTAAATCTTGAGAACAACCATTTTATTCAAATAATGCCAAAGGGTTAGGTTTGCAGATAGTCTACCCCTCCCAGCCTGCACAACTCATGGAGACAACATTGGGTAATAACGGTTAAACAAGAAAATTTGGTGAAAAGGAACAGCATCGCCATGTGAAGAATTATTTAGCTTTTCATTTAGAGATCAATAGGGTTACAAAACTACTAAGATGGTTGGTCATACAGAAGGCGTAGGAAGTAGGAAAAAATGAACTACCATGATTTACTTGGTCATCATTCACGATACTGTAGCACATGGGTTGACCTGATTTGTATATAACACCTACCATCAGTGTCATTGACCTTAATGCATTTTCACATTCAGACCGTGGGTTGCAATTTCAAGGGTCATCTTGGAGTTCATAATCCCTAAATCCTCATGAACCACAGTACTATAATGGGTGCAAATACTAGAGAAAAAAATATAGATACTATAACAAGTATTCATCAAATGTAGTGATCTGTTTGTTGCAATGGAATTCACTACCAAGAAATTATGAGATTAATACAATATGATACATGGACATTCCAAATAAACAATAATTTCCTCTGGGTTAACACTTTGCTTGAAATTAAATTTATAATTTATAAACCATCACATATATATGATTACACCCAACTAACAAAAACCCAATTAGACCAGAATAGTTTATGCCCAACAAATCATGAAGAACAAAAGAGTACCTTGAGATACTTGAGTTTCATGGTTCCATAAACAAGTCCAAGAGAAAAGGCGGAAACACGAGCCACCTACATCCACATACCAAATTTGAAACATATTACTTCAAAATTAAACCAAATATTTGCGTTTACGTATATCTATGTATACGCGCGCGCGCGCATACACACACACACACACACACACACACACACACACAAAAACACAATCACAAACAGATAGAAGGAAGGACTAGTGAAAGTTTACCAAAGCAAATGTGTTTTTTCCAGTAAAAACACCTGGGAACGGATGAGACTGCGACGTCGCCGACTCCATTGAAGATGGGTTTGTGTTCAAAGTGTGATTGAAGGAGATGAGAAGAGTCTTCAAGGTGCTATGTACGCCTTCAGATCTATATAGCCCTAGTTTTCTCTCTCTCTCTCTCACAAGTTGAGAGAGAATAGTGTGTGATTACGTAGGATCGAGTCCAGGAATACTAACGTACGGCTGCTATATCTCGTGCGTTCGATTTGAGATCCGTATCAGGACTCGTTTTATACCGCGTACTACACTACTAGAGTTACAAAAATCTCATTTGAATTTAAAAATAAGAGAAAAGTGCAAAAAAAAAAAAACGGATATTCAAAAATCAGCAATTAATTTCCTAAATTACAAAAAAAAAAAAAATGCAACTAATCTCTTGAACTATGCATTTTTATTACAGATTGTCCCATCCGACAAGGTTCTTGTCGAAAAAGTGACAATGTGACGGTCACGTGACAAATAATATAATTTTAATGACCATAACGCCCTTATGAACATAAAAAGACACTAATGCCCCTGACCATTACACCCAAATCCTCAACACCCAAACACACCCATGTGACTTATTTATCATCAATACATATATATATATATATATATATATAGTTATAATCACTATTCATCTTCTTTACTATGTTCTCTCTGGTAGTTTAAAAAAAAAAAAAATATGTGTTCATCGCATAAGAAAAATCACGCACTAATGAAAGCAAAAAAGAAATATTAGCCTAAAACCCCCAAACCTTTGGTTGGAATCTCAGGAAATGCATCAACGACTGATTTTGTTCTTTGTCGGTAGCGTCGGCTCAGTGTGTGTTGTAGAAGTGTAGAAGAACACTTTACAACAAATTCTCATACCTCTCAATCGTCAATACACACCATTATATATACACACCCTTATATATAATATTTACATCCAAAATCCTTAGAAACTTAACCCAATTTCAGGAAAATACTAAATAATCTGCCAAATTTAACTTCATACCTCTCTATCGGTCTCAATATCATAATTGAATTCTGCAATATTTGCATCAATAATATCTAATTTACACCTCAATCACAATATAGTTCATACATATGTCTCTGTATTCTTTTTTTGCATGAATAATTGAACAAGACATATGTATGAACTTGGTCAGATTCCTTGTTTCCTCTTTGTGGGTTTTGTATCTCCATGGCCATTGTGAACCTGATAAGTACACAAAACCTATTACTTCATGCACCAAAATAAGCTTTTAATTAGACTTTTATATGTTTAAATATTCTTATATGCTTGTTTTGTGTTATGTAGGTATTAATGTATAAATGAAAAAAAAAAAAAAAAAATCAGTTATATTGTATATATGTGTGTGCAAGTGAAAAAGAGAAATAAGGAGAGAGAAAGAAAAAGGAAGGAAGAAGAATGAAGAAAAGAAGAAAGAAAAGTGTATGCACATGAATCAAGAGAAAAGGAAGAGAGAAAAAGAAGAAAAGAAAAGTAAAAGAGAATGATGATGAATTAGAAAAGGAGAAGAGAGAAATAAGAAATCAGAAAGTGAGTAAGTCAGAAGGCAACAAGTGGGATACACAATTTTGGCTATAAATAGCCGACTCTGGAGCATTCAAAAAGGAGTATAAAGTTAGAGATAGAATTTCTTTATGTAATTTTTTTTAAAGTTTGTTTAATTTAATTCAAGTTATGTCACAAGTTTTATTCTTATTTAATTTTCAATTTGAGTGTTTAATGTTTTATAGTTGTAATTTCATTTCCATAGTTAGTGACTAATCTCAAAATCAATATTTTTAAATCTCTTGTTCGGAAATAGAAACTCATCTTGAATGCGTGGTTCGACCCTACTTGCCATTAGACATTTTTAGTTAAATGGTTGTAGGTATTTTATATGTTGAAATGGAGTGTATTTGACAACAATAAGTCCATAAATACACCCCTATCAAATGGCGCCGTTGTGTATTTGACAACGATAAATCCATAAATACAGTCTTATCAAATGGCGCCATTGCCGCTTCAAAGTTGAGTTAAAATTTTTGGACCAATTTTTATTTTATTGTTTATCTATTTTCTATTTTTATTTTGGTCATTTTATTTTTTATTTTTTTTGTTTTCTGTTTTTCGTGTTATATATAAAATTAAAAAATAAAAATAAAAATTTACTCACTGTTTGGCATTATTGCTATCCGCTGATTTTCTTCAACTCCCAAGTTTAGAAAGAAAAAAAAAAAAAAAAATTAAAAAAAAAAGGTGTGAATTTTTCTCACTGTTTTGTGCTTCTATTTTGTTATTTATTATTCTCTATATATACATATATATATATATATATATATATATATATATAAACCATCTTCTTCAAACTGTTGCATACAGTGACCCAGAAGAACAAAAAATAAATTAAAAAAAATCAAAAAGAGAAACCCATTTATAGTCCTCTTCACCAGCCATCAGCCGAGCCCGGAGCTCACCGCCGACCTCGCCGTAGCCATTGTCTCCACCGGTAGTACCCAAACCCATCATCCAGCAGCCGATTCATCCACAGCCGCTGCCCATCTCCGTTCACGGCCGGTTCTGGCCGTCTTGTCTCGCCACTGCAGCACCACAGTCCTCCGTTCTCACCGGCCGAGTTAACAGCCCACCTTCCTCCAAGCCCTCCAAGCACTGCCGTCGCCACACCTCGGGCCCAAGCCGCCATCATAGCCCCCATCAGCCGCCGTTCTTCTCCTTGTACGGCAGTCCAGTCCATCGCGCTATCCTCACCGCCGCAAGCTTCCAAGCTTACCACCGCGAGTTCAGCCGAGTCCAAAGTCGCCACGCCGCCGTCCATCACGGCCGATTCCGCCGTCGCCATCTCTCCTCCGGCCAAGCTCGCTGTCGCCGGCTGCCCATCTCATCCTCGCTGTCCTTCTTCTGGGTTTGACAGGCATCAGAGACATATATGATATATATGTATAATATATTATATATATATATATATATATATATATTTATATATATATTATATATCAAAGGCAAATAGCCCCTGTTTGGCTACAAGTGTGGCACTGTCCTAGTTCAGGACCTGGACCAGAATCTAAACCAGTTCTACAAACTGGTTCTGTTATAAACCAGTTCTGAAAAAAAAAAAAAAAAAAAAAAAGAAAGAAAGAAAGAAAAAAAATTGCCGATTCAAATTGGGGACTTATTTTGGAACATTCAAAAGATTGGATATTCTCATTGGAGCACACGTGGAAAAAACGACAAACGATAGCTTTGTCTTCCAAGTAAGTATCTCAAATTTTTATGCCGCGAATCTTCCGTTAGCGGTTTCAATTTTTTTTTTTTTTTTTTTTAAATTAGGAAAACTTAGTTTTTTTTAGGTGATTAACTTTTGCGTGCAAATTTTAGGATAGAATAACTTAGACGTAACCTTAGGTTCACATTTTTATTTTTTTTATTTTGTTTTTGAATTTCTTTTTCTTGAAAAAAAAAAAAAAAAAAAAAATCACACTCTCACTCCCTTTTTATTTTTATTTTATTGATTGTCTTATTTGTGCATCTTATAATTAGCATTTGCATAAGATACTTAAGGGCAAAATCCAAACAAGATACGGTCGGGATTTCATCACCCGTTTTCTGTAGCCCACAAATCATTAAATCCTTGCATTTGTCAAACCCGAGCCAAATTTAATTTAATTTTAAAATCAAGTAGACATTGGCCATAGGGTTTTTTACATAGCTCATAGGATCCTCTTAGATAGAATTAATTTTTGGTCACTCCAATTAGTACCTTCCAACTCGACAATGTCTAAGGAAAGTTTTGTCTAAGGGTGTGGGCGTGCCGTCATTAAGCAGGCCTCGTCCTCCCCACACTTCCTGGAAACTTCCCTGGTTATCTTATTGGCAGGCCTTAATTGGTAAGCCTTTAATTGTTCTAAAAGGGAGTAGGAGCTTTTTCATAGGAGCTTAAATTGCTTTAGAAAAAAAAATTCATCATCCTTGAATTTAAGCTCAAGATTAAAAAGCCAAAATATTTGTGTGGTTTGTGTATGCACTCCAGTGTCTAGCCCATTTTTAGGATCTAATTCTCAAGGGCTTTCCCTTAAAAAAAAAAAAATTGTGTGTGCTTTTTAGTGTTCGTTTTGTATGCCCAACTGGTTAAGAGTTAACAAACGATTAATCCGTTGTTCCACTGATCCTTCAATCTTTGCTTTGGAGAAAGCATTCTAACTGTCTTCCAAATCCAATTATTCTCCAATGGATCCACTAGTTCAACCAGTTCCACCACTTGTTCCACCAGTTCCACCATTTGTTCCACCAGCACAACCGATTGTCCCACCTGCTCCTAGAACTTTGAATGACTATTTTGCCCCTATCACAACCAATCCACCTAATTGTATTGCTCTTCCTCCAGTCGGACCTCAATTTGAGATTAGAGCCTATATCATCAATATGTTGCCTAAATTTCATGGATTTGAAAGTGAACAACCTTATGTCCATTTAGGGAAGTTCCTAACCATTTACAGTACTTTCAAAAATCAGCATTTAGATGATGAAGGTGTCAAATTGCGTCTGTTTTCCCTATCCTTAGATGATAAAGCTTCCTCATGGTTCAACTCTCTTCCTCCAAACTCTATTAGATCGTGGGATGAACTTGTTAAAAAATTCATGAACAAATTTTATCCAATGCAAAAAAACGGAGTTAATGAGAGATTCCTTAAGCACTTTCAAAGGGAAAAATGAAGAACAATTCCATCAAACTTGGGAGCGTTTTCATGATTTGCTTCTCAAATGCCCACATCATGGCTTTGAGAAACCACAATTAGTTCATTCTTTCTATAAAGGGCTTTCTCCTACTAACCGAACCATGATTGAGTCAATGCACGAAGGAAAGTTCAAATCCCAAACTCCTGAAGAAGCTTATGCTTTCTTAGAAGAACTTGCTGAGAATGCCCAAAGTTGGAATTGGAACCCTTGTGATGACGAATTCTCTAGGAATGATCCCACCAAAAGAACTTCCAATCCTTTTGAGATCAAACCCGAACCTGAATTCAAATCAGTGATGCAAAGTCTAGCGGAAGGAGTCAAAGATTTGAATAAAAAATTTGATGCCTTTGCTCTCATGTCAACAACTGCAAAATGCAATGTATGTTCAAGTTCATCTCATCCCACTGAGGCTTGTCCGATCTACTGTACATCTGAACCTTCAGATGCACAAGTTTGTGCCTTTAATACCTATAGGAAACCGACGGCTAATTCCTTTAGTCTGACGTATCATCCCGATTCAAGAAACCATCCAAATTTTTCGTGGCGACAAAATTTGCCTCCACAAAACTTAGGTGGTCCTCCAGGTTTCCAAGGTAATCCTAGTAGGCCCGCACAACCTCAAGGTTCTCTTATCCCTCCAGGATATTTTCCTAGAAACAATCAGTTCAATCAAATTAGAGAACTTGCAATTGATCCAATGAGCAATTATTTTGCTCCTGTCCCACAGTACCACTGTGCTACCAATTATGAGGACACTATGAAAATGCTTGCCCTTAATCTTGATCAATCTGACAAGCAATCAGATCAGAGAATTCAAAAGTTAGAGAGTCACTTTGACCTCTTAACTCAGAGTCAACTCCAATTTCAACAAACTATCCAAAGTCAGTTGACTCAACTCACTTCTACACTGTCTGAAAGACAAAAGGGTACCTTGCCTAGCCAACCTGAAATTAATCCAAGAGGCAAAGAAGTGAATCACATTGAAATTTCTCCTCCCACTGACCAATCAAATAATCAAGTGAAATCTTAACCCTTCGGTCAGGGAAGAAAGTCAATAACCAAGTTGAGCTACCCACCCAAGCTACAAATGCACCAACCAAGTCTAGTGCATCAGACCCACCCAACACCAAAGAGGACCAAGGTTCCAAATCTGATCCAATCCATCTTCAATCTTATGTTCCCCCCGCCCCATTTCCTTCTCGACTAGTCAATAATAAGAAGGAGTCACAATACAGTGAGATCTTAGATATTTTTCAAAATCTTCAGATCAATATTCCATTTCTTACTGCTATTAAACAAGTTCTTTCTTATGCAAAGTTCATCAAAGATTTAGTCAAAAGGAAAACTAACATCCCAAAAGAAGCTTTCATAGCCCAAAATTGTTCTTCCTTCCTACAAAATCAAGCCATGGTTAAGCATAAAGACCTTGGGAGTCCAACTGTCATTTGTAGGATTGGAGAAAAGTTTGCTGACCATGCTTTGTTGGATCTCGGTGCTAGTGTGAATTTGTTACCATATTCAGTGTATTTGGAGTTAGGCTTGAATAATTTGAAGAAAACTAATGTTAGGATCCAATTAGTTGATCGTTCTGTCAAAATTCCAAGGGGTATAATTGAAGATGTGATAGTGAAAATAGCTGATTTCTATTACTCGGTTGATTTCATTGTTCTAGATACCCAACCTACCCAAGGTACGCAAATTCCTATTATCTTAGGTCGACCATTCTTAGCTACCGCTAATGCTGTGATCAATTGTCGAAATGGTAGTATGACTTTAACCTTTGGGAACATGAAATTGGAAGTCATTGTGTTTAAATTGATGAAGCAACCCCCTGACTCAGATTCCATTGAAGAAATTTGTCTCATTGAGTCATTAGCCGCTCACACCTTTGAGCACTCTTACCTTAAGGATCCACTCCAACAGTGTTTAGCACATTTTTGTGATGAGTTTGATGCGGATAGTTATATTGGTGAGGTTAATGCTTTACTCGATTCCACTCCAATCTTTGAACCATCAAAGATTAGGTTTGAACCATTATCTGTTCCCACTACCACTGTTCTCGAAACTAAGAAGAAGCCACCCAAGGTTGAACTAAAGCCTCTACCTGAGACTTTAAAGTACTCTTACCTAGGTGAGTCCGACACTTTTCCCGTGGTGATTGCTTTAGACTTAACTACCCATCAGGAAACCCAACTTCTTAAGGTTCTTAGGGAAAATCGTGCAGCCATAGGGTGGTCCATTGATGATATTCACGGCATTAGTCTTTTAGTCGTTCAACATCGTATTCATTTAGATAATGATGCAAAAACCTATAGGCAGCCCTAAAGGAGACTTAACCCTAATTTAAAGGAAGTTGTTCGTGCTGAAATTATCAAACTTCTTGATGCCGGTGTCATCTATCCCATTTCTGATAGTCAGTGGGTAAGCCCCATTCATGTTGTCCCAAAAAAATCAGGCATCACTGTCGTATCTAATAGCCATAATGAATTGGTTCCTACTCGTGTCCAAACTGGATGGCGAGTTTGCATTGATTATCGAAAGCTCAATACTGTCACTCGAAAGGATCATTTCCCTCTGCCTTTCTTTGATCAAATGTTAGAAAGATTAGCTGGTCAATCCTTCTATTGCTTCTTAGATGGTTACTCTAGGTATAATCAAATCCCTATCCACATTGATGACTAAGATAAAACCACTTTCACCTGTCCATTTGGCACATTTGCTTATCGTTGCATGCCTTTTGGTTTATGCAATGCACCTACTACATTTCAGCGATGTATGATGAGTATTTTCAGTGACATGGTTGAAAAGTTTCTTGAAATCTTCATGAATGACTTCTCTATCTTTGGTTCATCATTTAAGCAATGTCTTCACCATCTTACTCTTGTTCTTCAACGTTGTCGTGACACTAACTTGGTTCTTAACTGGGAAAAGTGTCATTTCATGGTTAAAAAAGGAATTGTTCTTGGTCATAATATCTCCGCTGCAGGAATTGAGGTAGATCAATCCAAAGTTGACCTTATCTCGAGTTTACCCATTCCCAAAACTGTTCGGGATATTAGAGCTTTCTTAGGTCATGCTGGTTTTTACCGTCATTTCATTAAAGATTTCAGCAAGATTGTAATGACCCGGTCATTTTCTTCCTTTTCCATTTTTCCTCAAATTTTGCGGATAAATTTTTTCCGTGGATGGTTTTTCTGTGGATGGTTTTTCGTCGCTTAGTGTCATCTCGAGTGCTTATAATTGGTTTCTGAGACTCTTTCATGTGAATTGACAACTTCCTTCAAGGACCGAGTTATTTTCGCATTTTTCGTTTTTGGACACTATGCGCTATTTCGTCTTTTCCCTGTTCTGTCATTTTCCCTATTTCGTCTTATCTCCATTTGTCAGTTTTTGGCACAACCTCACTTCTTGTGCTCGGAGTTGGTTTTTGACTTCACGTATCCTTATCGTGAGTGGTTTCCACGAAATACGTATCTTTACTTTTGCAAGAAAGTACTCTGGTTGCTCCCGGTGCCTATAGGGGCATGAATGCATAAATCTTTGGAATTAATTTCATTTCTTGGGGTGTTTTTCATAAATATCTTTTGAAGATATTTTATTTCAGGGGCATCTAAGAAAATATATTTTGGAAGATATTTTCATTCTGGGGCAGTTTCGCAGTTAACCCTTTTTGTAGGGGCCATTGTGCAATTAACGAAAGTTATTGCAAAACGTCTCGTCTGGAGCTTGGATCCTCGTACGGAATTCATTTTCACTTTTTGTTGACTTGTAAATTCATAGAATTCCGTTCTGGTCATTTTTCTCTAATTTCAGAGTTTCTGGACTCGGTTGCCACCGAACTTGTTCAGGGCATAACTTTCTTCTCGGGACTCGGTTTTTGACGCTGTTTCTTCTGTTGTTCATATTTTCTCATTTTGAATCTTTTTAATTCATGGAGTTTTGCCGTTTGAGCACGTTTGCTTAAAATACACTTTTTCGGACCCGGCGGGGCCCTTTCAGGGCACTTTTTGTGATTTACTATAAATAGGTGCCTTAAAGAAGAAAAATCAGATTTTCTTCTTCTTCCTCCTCTCCTTGCACGACCAAAGGCAGCCATGGATGCCCATGGAGCTGCCATCTTCTCTCTCCTCCTTTAACCTACTTTTCCTAAGTGAAAATCCTTCGGCCTTTGCATTTGTTGCTCGCCTCGTCATGCTCTACCATTACCCCTTATTAGAAACCATTTCTGACCAAATTTTGAGTTTGGGATTTAGACCAAGTTTGGATTTTCATGGGGCTTCTTGGAGATTCATATAAATCGTGTTGTCCCCGACAAAACCTAGGAGTTTCGTCCGATTCGGAGCCGTTTCGTTTTGATGGCTTTTGAGATTTTCATCTCAGATTGAGGTAGGGGGTGTCTTAGGATTATATTTATGTTGTATTGATTGTTATATGAGTATATACAATTTGTGAGCATGTTTTGTTTAAGATTTAGAATTTAATTTAATTAATTTCTATATTTGAGATTTAATTCATATGGCTTTGTGTATAACATGGAATTAAATTGTGGTATGCTAGGAAATTAAGTTTTAGTATGTTGATTAACATATATTAAATTTGGGGCATTTGGATAAGAATTACAAAATTTATTTAATATTTATCTTTTGTGAAAGTTTAATTCACATGGTGATAGCAAACATGAAATCATGATGTAATGTGATATTTGGATAGGCCTTGGCATGTTCTCTATCATAGATTAAATTGAGGGTATTTGGAATTGTTTAAAAATCTAGAGGAAATTAATTAATTAGTTTGATTAATTTTGTTTTAAGTATTTTAGTCACTTAACTTGTCATTTGATGATATATATGTGATGACCATGACATGTCCTTCAAAATATATTAAATTGAGGTTATTTGGGATTAACTTGGGATTTAGAGAATTTAACTATTTGTATTTAATTAAATTCTATTTTATTACTCCATGGATTTAATTATATTTTGGAAGTTGTTTTTATATTTAAATCATGGATTTGGATTTGGTGTATGTTCACTTGATTACTTTTGAGCATTGGATAACATAGTTGTTACTTTTATATTCATGAGAATATATTTTTCCTTATTGAATATATTGTTGCTATGTGTAAGGAATTGCACACTTTGTATTTGACATCTTTCATGCCATAGTAGTTGTAGACTTTGAGCATGTATTGTATAAGTTTCCAAAATTGGATTGTGCTTGGTAAATATTTGATATCTTGTATATACATGTTGATATATATATACGTTGTTGCACAATTTGTTAATTTTAGAAACTTGGGGATGTTGTTGTTTGGCTACAGCTAGGACTTGGTTCTAGTACGAGGGATTGTCCCTCTATATAGTCTAGTGCGCACATAGGGAGGTTACCCATGGGCTAGTAACCTTAAAGTAACTATGTTGTCGGTCTGATCCGGCGTGACGTCCGAGTATCCATTTTGTTTGATTTCGTATTTCATTTCAAGTTGATAACTAGATGATATCGTAACTTGTTGTTCTTTGTTTGATTTCCCATTTTAAGTTGCAAGATGTTAACTTTGAGAAGTCATGCTTTAAGCGTTGTATTAGAAGTTTCAATATTGGTTAAATTGCATCGATATCATAATTTATGTTTTGATGTTCAAATGTAGTTTATGAATGATCCTATAGATTCACTTTGAACATAGACGTTAGGTGACATGACCCACTCTTGTTGTTTTCGTATCTTGGATTTCAAGTTGAAGACTTTGAGAATCTATATCTTGTTGCTTTGTATAACATGTTTCCATGTTGTTTGAATTGCATGAACAATGTGATTATGCTAGAAATGTTTTAAGGTAGCTTAGGATGATTCCTGAGTCTCACTTGACATAGACGTTAGGTGGCATGAGCCCCTTTAACATGTTTCACCCTAAGGTGATAAAACTGTAAAATGCTAGGTCGATGCATGCTCATCTCCTACGAGTAGCTTTACGTTACTCACCCCTACGTTACTGGGGTATATTTCAGGTACAGGACTTAAGACTTGAAGATTTCAATGCCTTGGATCGTTTGGTAGCTTTATGTATCAAACTTGTATTCTTTGATTCTACGTATGTAAAGTGTACATAAGTACACTCCTTTTAATGCATTTGACATGTAGGACATGAGGCCAAGGGCCAAGTAAGTTTATATTTGCACTTGTATTCAATTGGTGCCATATTTTGCTTGAAAATGTATTTTTATCAACTATGGAGGCTTTGTATGCTAAAACTTGTTAATGGAATGTAAAGAGGCTTTAGGCCATGTTGGTACATCTATTTTATCATATTGCATGCACTTGCATGCTCACTTTGGCAAACAACAGCATCCTTGATGAAACAAAAACTCTAAGTAGCATTTTTAGGGAGCTTTACCCCATTCTGTTCCAGGGGCATTTAGGGTATTTCACAATACATTTTTTTTTCATTTTTCCTTGTAAGTCACGTAGAAAACTCAATTTTAAGGGGGGTTTCTTCTTTGTGTTTTTCCAGAAAATGCCATCTTGGCCCTCAAAAATCCATATTTTTTCGTAAAATCCTTGCTAATAGGTTTTGCAGATTTTTAGTGCAAATGTACTTGGTACTATTCATCGACTTTTTTTTTGAAAAGTGTGACGACCGATCCAAAACTTCCGGGGGTCTCGTGGGTGTATTTTAAGATTATATTTTCAATTTAGTCAATTTAAAAACCTCCCGAAGCCCTATTTCCTTTCTTTGGGCAGCAGTTTGGAGAAATTTTTACCCTCTTGACTAGAATTTCTTGGGGGCATTCTGGGCATTTTACAATGCATTTTTTTTTTTTATTTCTATCCATAAGTGGGGTAGGAAACTTGATTTTAGGGGGGGTTTCTCCTTTGAGTTTTTCCGGAAAAGTCCGTTTAGATGCCCATTTTTACTCTCAGTTGCAGTAGTAGTGGGTTGACGGCACTGTAGCTGTCACGGCCTTCGTCGAGCCGCCGTGACGTCAATTTTGTTTTTGACCTTTCTCCCTCATCCGGACTCCAAATCACGTGAATTTTTTTTTTGAAAATGATTAATTTTTCACTGTCTATCCAACAGTGTACTCGATTACACCTAGATATTTCTGGATAATTACTAGTTTACCCCTTTTAGCTTTATTGCTTGTTTTTCTTTGTTTTGTCGTTTCTCCTTCGTTCGGAATCCGAATAATAAAATTCTTGAGTCCAACATGATTAGTTTTTCATTGTATTCCCAGTGGTGTGCTTGATAGCACTTGAATCCACTTTTTTTGCAAAATGACCATTTTGCTCCTAGGTTCCTTTTTGCCCGTTTTTGAAACAACACTTCC